GCTCCATGCAGGCATGGGTGAAGTATGTCACCTGAGGGGAAAGTAAAAGAATATTTATGTTTTGGAGACTGTACTTGATGTACTTTTCACTCTTAATTCATTCATTATTATTATTATTATTATTTATTTATTTATTTATTTATTGCCTGTCCCGTTCGTTTCTTTAGCCATCACAATTATTCTTTGAAGGACAAGAAAGATGTCCCACTGATTTACTTCACCAAGTGGATAATCATGGCCTTGCCATATTGGTCCATTTGATTGACCTTTGTTATGCTTAATCATTTGTTCTGTTTTATTCTAAGTTATTACAGACAGGACAGACATGACTGGGGGATAGGAAAGGGAGAAAGAAAGAAAGTGAGGGAGGGAAAGAAAAACAGAAAGTACGAGGAACAGTGAAAGATGACAAAATCACCTGGATCACCTGTTGAGAGAGGGAAAAAAAGAGCAAACAGATGTCGCAGCTTTTGAGGGAGCATGCAATTGGCGTGCTGACAGCAGGAATGTGTACCAGAATTGTTGCCTGTGAAGTGAATATTCATTTCTCTGCCATAAGCCATCTTCAAAGCCGTGTCAGAGAATTTAGCAGTAACGGGCCTCACAATCGCAGACCCCATGTAACCACACCAGCCCAGGACCTCCACATCCAGCATGTTCACCTCCAGGATGTTCGACCAGGTGGAGACCAGCCACACAGACAGCTGCAGCAACAATCAGTTTGCATAACCAAAGAATTTCTGCAAAAATTGTCATGCGATGGAGATGCGTTGCACTGCGTGAGGCAAATGGTGGCCACATCTGTAGCATTGTGCTATGTGATCAAACTGCATATTTCAGAGTGCCCTATTGTGGGCAGTCTAAGGCACACCTGTGCAATATTCATGCTGTCTAATTAGCACCTTGACATGCCACAACTGTGAGGTGGGATGGATTATCTCGGCATAGGAGAAGTTCTCACTAACACAGATTTAGACAGATTTGTGAACAATATTTGATAGTAATGGGTCTTATGTAGAAAATGTTTCAGATCTTTAAGTTCAGCTCATGAAAAATGGGAGCAAAAACAAAAGTGTTGCGTTTATATTTTTGTTCAGTGTAGTAAACACAACACCATCGCAATAACCTAGATAAGTGTAAGTAACAGTAAATACTAAATATTGAATGTTATTGTGCAGCATATAAGACTGACAGCACACAATGTGCTTTCAGGTAATAGGAAAGAAAGGTATAGTTTGTGTCTAAGAGCACCTGTGTGTACACCTGTGTGGATGAGAGTGCTTGTATTTAAAAGGTTTGTCAATGCAACAATCTGCTAGAGGGTGTGGGGAGCTATAGCCCCATCTCCCAGGTCATGAAGCAGGCATGGAGGAGATCCAGGCCCTAGACATCCAGAGG